TATGAAATAAATAAATTATAAATAAATATTAAATAAAAAAAAATTAATAATAATAAAAATGCAAAATTGAAAATGTAAGAGTGAATGGTTCAACAAATTTGTTTTCGAGGTGCACCACGAGAAGGTAACCAATAACGCACCTCACCTGTAACTAAAATAATTCTAAATATATAATAATAAATACTTATTGAATAAATGCATATATGTATAAATGCATATATGTATAAATGCATATATGTATAAATGCATATATGTATAAATGCATATATGTATAAATGCATATATGTATAAATGCATATATGTATAAATGCATATATGTATAAATGCATATATGTATAAATGCATATATGTATAAATGCATATATGTATAAATGCATATATGTATAAATGCATATATGTATAAATACATAATATGTATAAATACATATATGTATAAATACATAAGCTAATAAAATATAAACAAACAAAATTTAAAATATAAACAAATTCTTGATTTATCTTCTTTCTTCTTGAAATCCTTCTTGTCTGCTTTATTTTGATACTAGAATCTTATTAGCTCTATTGATGTCCATCCATTTTTACTCCTTTCTGTTATCTGTCTTCACATATAAGGCGCAACACTGCTGCCAATAATAAGCACATAAGTGCGGCGCAATAATGCTGCCAATACATGTAGTGCTGCTCATTCTTCTTTTTGCCCTCATGTTTCTTCATTCTATATATATACACAAGTTTTATAATTATTATTATTATATATAAAACATGTAATACAAGATGTACTATATAATAATAAAGAAGAATAATGAATCATTATATACTTATCATGCAACTTCAATGTATCTTCTATTCTTCCAAGTATTTTCGCTGCAATCTTTTTATTAATGAACAACATAATATAATCACAAGAGAGAGAGAGAGAGAGAGAGAGAGAGAGAGAGAGAAAGAGTGAGAGAGAGAGAGAGAGAGAGAAATAGACAGAGGAAGAGACTAAAATAATAATATCTAAATTGAAATATATAAACTTTGACGTAACCATAATGATAGGTACGCAGACAAATATATAAACTGTACAGCCATAATAATAGCTACGCAGACAAATATATAAACTGTACAGCCATAATGATAGCTACGCAGACAAATATATAAACTCTATAGCCATAATGATAGCTACGCAGACAAATATATAAACTCTATAGCCATAATGATAGCTAAAAACAGCCTTTTTTACCGGTGTTAGTAGCTTCCTCGGGGATCGGTTTGGCAATCTATTTTTACTTCTTTCCAGCAATACAGCTCTATTCATCAATTCGTGCACTCCCCAAAGTGCTCGGCTCAATTGCCTAACAAATAAAGAAGGTCTTCTTAACTTCTTTATTTCCTTCCATGTTGTATACGGTATTGAGATACCGTATCTCAAATGCATCATTTTAATTTAAAAAAAGGAATTAAAATTTTTGTTATTTTAGAAAATTTAATAATTTAAATGATTATCGTTATTGAATTATAAATACAAGTTCAAAGTAGTTCTAATAATTTTTGAGTTATATTTAATAAGTAATATATATCTTATATTTAAATTTTAAGTTTCTATAACTAAAAAATGAGTCTTAAAAAATTGTTTTTTCTAAAACCTCGATGTACAAAAACAGAAGCTAGTAGATGTTATGAGGAAGTGCGCGACAAGATAAAAATGTTGAGTCCATGAGTGCGGGAGATCCACACCGCTCCATTCTCGCGACAACACGTCTTAAATTTAAACATTTTTACATTTAAACTTACAGTTGTTCCGTTTACTTCGTCGTCCCAAGCAGTCATATTTTCTTTATCCGTTAATCCATTATATTGATCGGAATCGTAATTCAAGTCACTTCCTTTATTCTTTTTTTTCCTTGATCTTTCTTAGATTTTTTAGTTTTCTATGCTTTTTTTGCTTTATTTTTTTTTCTTACTCTTTGTTT